AAAAACAGGCCCAGGGTCAGGGGCGCCCGCAGGGAGGGGCAGGGGGGGGGGGGCACTGCACTTGCCCCCCTGGATTGATTGGATAACAAAAATTTAGACAAAAAATTTATTAAAGTAAAGAGAAAATAAAGAGAAAGTAACTAGGCTGATGTCCTGTCCGTTCGTTCACCATACACATACGCTACAGTAAATTAAAACTTAAACATTACTAAAATTTTTTTGCCCCCCTCCCCTAGAACGTTTTTTGAGGGCGCCCATGGTTCATAATGACTTAGAGGGGTATCTAATATAAACACAGAAATGAGGATATAACCTTTCATCACAGTCTCCGGCAGAATGTTTATTCGTTAGGGGAATAGTCGAATTTTAATTTGCCTTTTAAATTATGAAAATCTACCAATTACTGAGTTTTTTAAACGGATCTGTATTTGTTTTTTCCATGGCGCTACTTACTTAATGGCTGGTACTGAGACAATAAAAGCAAAAAGTTGGTCAGTACCGTAAACGAATAGTAAGGGCTAAGACAAGGACTAGACTCTACTACTAAGCCTAGGGTTGCCATATCGAGCTTGGATCTTGTCGGGATTGGGTTGTAGAAATGAATTAAAAGTGTATTTAATATAATTACTTTTTATTTAGAGTACCCGTGACGGTCCCGACATATCGGGACGGATGGCACCTTGGCCTTGGTAATACAATACTAATTAGCTTATATTATTATTTTTTTATTTTTAGTGCGTTTTTATTATTTCTACAGAAATAAAATTAAAAATTCATTTTTACCTCATGGAACTACATTAAAACAGTTCAGTGGCTACTGTAGCATGTATTTATTGTTTTCCAATTGTTTTTTCATGTATTTTGCAGTGGTTTTAAGATGAAAATTTAATATAAACCATGTATTTACAAAGACTATCGATGGCTGCTATTGTTTTGGTCCGTTTCGCTGAAGTTTGGCCAGATTTTTTGCCAGTCTCAGGCCAAAAGTATTATTGTTACGGTTAAAGGAATGTAAAAATAATAGACAATTATTATGTCAGATTCAGGGGCATCGGCTTACACTTGGGTGTAGGCGTAGGGACCGGCATCGGCTTACACTGGGGTGTAGGCGTAGGGACCGGCATTGGCTTACACTGGGGTGTAGGCGTAGGGACCGGCATCGGCTTACACTGGGGTGTAGGCGTAGGGACCGGCATTGGCTTACACTGGGGTGTAGGCGCAGTGACCGGAATCTCTCTGAGCGTTGAAGGTGCCGTCGTCCCATCGTGTTGTCCATTCACTCTAGACCCATATAATGCGATCTGTGCCAGTATGAAGGTTAAAAGGTCTTATCTTGGATGGTGGACGTGGGGCAGGAGGGTGGGGGTTAACTTCCCCTGTCCATCAGAGCGTGATGATCGGCATCACGTATCCCCCCACCCCAATTTTTTTCTCTCTCCCAGAGCGCTCGAAATATACGGGTAGCCCCTTGAAGTTGAAGCCATGGTGGGGGGATAGGATTTGAAACTGATTACCAAGGCAGCGTACTCACACATCATCATTTACTTGTGAATAAAGTTATCTGACCAACAG